CCCCCCCCCCTGATCAGACTGCAACATTGTTACTTTGTAGCAAGACTCAAGATAAGAGGCTACATCAGGGGCTGATCTCTGTCGCCCACAATTACAAAGGCACCATTATTTACATAACTGAGTCATCTCAGTTGGTATCTCAATCCAGGAAGTAGATGGTGACCCTGGATGATGCCTGTACAAAGATGGCTCCATCCTTCTGTAGACAAAAGCAGATGAAAGCATTGTCAGGGGGAGTACTGTGATCTCCATGAGAGGTAATCAATATCTGGAACTGTTACAATAAGAGCTGCTCATGGTTTTTGTTTTGAAATGGGATGTTCACTAGAGGGATCACCAGCAGCAGTAAGGAGGTCCTGATTCCTCTATATAGATCTTTAGATATCACTAGAGGGATCCCCAGCAGGAGGAAGGAGGTTCTGATTCTTCTATATAGATCATTAGTCATCACTAGAGGGATCACGAGCAGCAGGAAGGAGGTCCTGAGGGTTTAAACATTTCAGCAGAGATTGCAGGAACTTAATATGAACACTTTTGAGGAAAAAAAGAAAAGGGAAACATGGATGAAATCTTTCAATACTTAAAGTGTGCAAATAAGTTTTAGAGGGCCGTATGTTCAATATGAAGCTGAGATGAAGAACACGGGGACATGACCTCAAACTAGCAGGAAGAAAGTTTTAAATTATCCTCAGAAAGTATCTTTTTACCAAAAGAATATTTGATGCTTAGAAAAGAGTTCCAGGAGAGGAAGTGAGTCAGCCAACAGTAAATGAATTGAAACATTCTTGGGAGAAACATGAATCTGTATTCAATCAAAAAGATTTTTAAAAATGACTCGATGTACCACTTGGTGGTCTTTTTTACCCCATCAGTCTTTTAAGTTTCTAAGGGGCCTCTCATGATCAGTTGCCAAGTCTACACTCCTTGCATTGGCCATTACTCTGCATGAATAATGGCATCCAATACTCCTGTGTGAGAAAACACCCAGAGCTGCACAGAAGAGATTATCTGTGAAAAAAATAAGTCAAGGCGACTGGACTTGCTGCATTTTTCTTGAAGACGTTTCACTGGTCATTCAACCAGCTTTCTCAATTCAGAAGTCCAGTTGCCTTAACTTATTTTTTACAGATATACCTTGACCTGGATGAATGAGAACCTTCACAGACAAATGCACAAAAGAGGGAAACAAAATAAGAAATCCAAATTTGCATAGTTTGAGTCTTGATACTTTGTGCTCAGCTCATTGATCCTGCTGTCCTATGCAGTATATGCAGCACTGGGTTTTGTCCCATCTCTCCCCTGATCAAAACGGCAAGAGATTGTGAGAAGTTGAAGTTGTATCTTTTTTTCAGCCTAGCTAACTACTAAATTATATTTTGTACAGTGTTTTGATCTGGAAGAAGGTCAGCTCCATCTCCTAACATCTCTATGACAACATATGTACTTTTACACTGCATAGATCGTAGACAGCCAAGGTCATGATATTATGAAAGCATTCCTTGGACTGAGATGGATAATAACCTCTGTGCAGCGAAGTGAAAGGATATATTGATAGAGAAATTACACATGGGGGTTTATTCATTTAATGCACACCACTCTAAGCTTTACTGTGCAGACAAAACCAAACTACTATCATATGTGGAGACAATAGACATTTCAGCTGGGGAGACGAGGAGAATAGAACATCTATGCACAATAACTAGCGCTGTTATCAACAATTATTTAAAGGCCAATTTCAGAGAAGAGTGTTGGATGGAATGTGCTGTATTCAGGAATATACTGAGGCTTTGCTCTCTGGTTCTAGGGCTCAGATCCAACAGTAGCAATTGTCCTATTCTATCATTTCTGCTGCATTTGCACCCTGTCCCAATAGAATCTTCAAGTGGGAGTATAACAAACACTATCACCATCAGTAAACCCAGCCTGAGCTAAATTTTCACCACCTCTATATGGGGGTGGTGGAAGTTGCCAGATCTTTTCCAGAGGCCAGGTAACAGTGCCCCCCTGCCTTGCATCCCAGGCTCCACTGCCTTTCCTGCGGGCCGAAGACCAGCATTGTGGGTGTCAGCAGTAGGGTAGTAGGGAGAGAGACCAGCAAACATCCATTCACTGATCCCCTCTGCATTGAATGCTGGGGAGTGACAGTTCAGAAACTGGAAGTGATGCAATCTGCTTCTGAGCTGTCACTCTCCAGCTAGAGAAGCCGGTATAGAAGCTGATCAATTATAATCTGCAATTCATATAGTTCAGTTTGAGCACTTTACCTCAAAGAAGTGTAGCGCCCTCTAAAATGTCGCTATTCAATTTAGAGATACCTGGACTGTAACCAGTCTAGATACAGATTATACAGAGCTCTGCATTCTGCATTCTATAGGTGTCCCTGAATCTGCTGGATTGATTGCTCCTCCTGAGGAAAAGGGAGCCTTGGCATACAGTGAGGGAGGATCCATCCTCAGGTTATGACTATGCACCTGACCCTAGCCAAACCTAGTAGGATGACTCAGAGGCATGGTTGAGGGCAGGTAATAAAAGGTCTGGTGACACTGTGGAGAGTTCTCTTCCCTCTAGGGGCCTCGCCCTAGGAGGTCTGTGTGATGCAAGCAAATGGCCTGGGCCTCAGCACATGGCAGGTGCTGAGGGGCCTAGAGGCCTAGGATACACTGATACTTTGCTGGGCACACACGTGGCAGGTGTGGGGCGCCTGGAACTAGAATACACCACTGGATATCTGGCATGCACCTCAGCAAGTGGCAGATGCTGAGGGCCCAGAGATTTCGGTTATGGCTGCAAGGAGACCTGATGGAAGCTGGGCTGGAGGTGGCGTCGTCTTATCGAGGAGTGTCGCAGAGGAGCTGGTGAGAGCTACCGTCTGGACCCTGTAAGAGACCCCTCACCCTATTCCCAGGTGATTGCTATAGAAGAAGCCAATTGTTGCTACCTGAATCCAGAGATAGTCCCTTCCTCTCAAAGTCCTGGGCTATCCTGGCTATACGCTGTACTGTTCATTTCTCTCTCTCCTGTTGAATTTTCAAATAAATATCCCAAAAGACCCTGAGACTCGAGTCCATTCTGTCCGTGAGTGTCGGTGTGCTGTTGCTGAACAAAGGGGACCGGTGGCTGGAACACACAGGTAGGAGAACCCATTTCATATTCAGCGGCTCCTTCGGGGGTGAGTGCTACAGAAGCAAACTGAGAGCCTGTAAAATGTAAAAAATAGTTGGCCAGTTCACCCACCCATTAAACCTCTCTCTGTGTCCCAGCAATCAATGACTATGTGTGGCCCACACAGCGTTATTATATGACTGGTGGCTGAGTTGCACAGCATCACTGGTTTTTAGGACTGTGTGGCCTCCAGCGTCTTAGCAGTCAGTGCAAGCCTCACAGCGTCATTAGTTGTTATGGTGCGCCGGCTTGCGTCCTAACAACCAATGAAGCTGTGCAGCCTAGCAACTAGAATTCAAGGATGCTGCGCAGGTCACACAGCGGCATTGATTGCTTGGACATAGGCATTCCTGGCTTCAACATGCTTAAATGTTCGCCAATCCCAGCCAGAAATCCAGGTTCAGTGAACATCCAAGTGAGTTGAACCCAAACCAGTTCACTCATCACTACTTAAAATCAATGTCTTTTTTAACCGTATGTGCCATTAAGAAGATTTCTCTTTACTTCCTGTCCGGTAGACACAACAAGTGAAAATACATCTCTCCAATGTGAGGGAAATCTTTGTTGTCACCAAAACAAGTATATATTGGAAGATTTCTGCTCTTCCTAATCATGTGACAACGCAAAGTTTTGGGTTTCCCATCACTTTCAGTACGGGTTCTAAGTCACCTGTACCATTGCAATGGTCACAAGGACAACTAGAGAAAGTGAATCTCCCTGACAGGGAACCAGACAGCAATAAAACCTGGCAAGAGTTCTACTCTATCCAAAAAAAGAAGCTTTAGATACACTTTAAAGTGATCCTGTCAGCATGTGAAAAAAAGTACCAACTTCTAAATGAAGCACCTGAAACTCACCATACCCATAGGTGGTCTGTAGAAACTTCACTGCCTTGAAGAGCTGATATCTGACACTGCAGTGTGTAGAATTGCAGGGTCCCATGGCTCCTCTGATGGTTGTTAGATTCCCAAAGGATGAACAATGGTTTAATTGAGAATATTAGTAGTTGTCATGTGGTCATGCCCCTTTAGCACCTCCAATGTTTAAATGTATGTATGCTGTTGAAATGTGAATCTTTACTCAATCAAATAAATTAATAAAGGAAAAACAAAACAAAACAAAAATGAGCAAACTCAATGTAGCACGTGGTGGTCTTTGTGCCCCACCA